TAGGGACATGAGCGAGAAAATATCGAGATGCAGAGATTCATTTCTATTAAGGTTATACTTACCAAGATAGTAGAAGACCCCTTCCTTACGTCACCGCCTCACTGCCTTGGTGTGCCTATATAATGTAAGTCCTCTACACGTAGAGGACAGACTTTCATAGTCTTGAGATTCCTACACACATTATACCTAGAGCTTTTGTCTCTCTACACACATTGTTCTCTCTCTCTCCCAAAGTATTGTATTTCTCCCGGAGTGTTCTCTTGGCAACATTATACATCAATAAAGATCTCCGGCCACCGCCGCCGTTCCGGAGAGTGGAGTATGTCACCCAGACTTAACCACTATAATTCTATGCATTGGCTCCTTATTTACAGTTTTATTATTAATTGTTTTATTTATTGCTTATTAATTCCACCCGTTTATACACTTGACTGTTGATTTTGCACAAAAATTAATTTGTGCATCATCAAATTGGATCGAACAAGTTGGGTACTTGAAAAAAAAAAGGTTTATACCAAATCTTTTGAAATCAGCAAATTAAAAAAAAAATTAATTATTGGCCCACTCTTTTGTCTTTCGAGCTTTGTCATTTTTTTTTCCAAAACAAGCAAATGAAGAACAAAGGGATGGCTGCACACCCAACATCATGCCGACGGAAAGCAAAAGGAACGACGGCCTGCACCACAAAAAAAAAAAAAAAAAAAGTAATCCGTTATTTGTACTTAAAATTTTGACTTAATTTGCTGACATAATGATGTGGTTTCATTAAAATCAATGGATCAACATCAAGTTTCAATATTTAATGAGACTCACATTCAATCTAAAAGTCACAATAAATTATGTTCCAATAGTATTACTCAAGAAACAAAACGAAACGACAGCTAGGGCATCTTCGACTGGTGACTGAAAAAAAAATTATTTTTTTAACTCTGTTTGAATTTTTTTTTTTAATAAAAAATTATGTGTTACAAATGATAATTTTTAATCTTCTTATAAATTTCATATTTTACTCATTTTTAGCTTATTAAATTTTATCAAACATGCCACTTTTATGTTTAACTAGTTATTGTTATCTCATTAGTTTTGAAAGCCATCATCCAGACTTGATTAAAAAAAAACATATACACACACAATATGAGAAACACAAAATAAAAAACTAATTGGCACTTGTATAATTGAAATGAAATATTCTTTAAACCCTTCATGTCATGTGTGACAACTGACCAATCACACTCAATTTAGTGATGACAAGTCATAGCATTCTAGTTAGTTTGATTTCTTCTTCTTAATCTGGTAATAGATGGAATCAATATATTAGGTAAGGCAATATCACCCATATGATTTAGACATATGGGTCCAAGGATTCAAATTTCGATCAATGGAGTTAATGGAAACACTTCAAATCCAAAACACATCAAAATATTAAAATTTTGATATTCAATAATTCGTATCAACTTCCATAACAACGATAAAATCTGGTCATTTTCAATAGAAAAGAAACGAAACTTTAATCATCACTCAATCTTTCATATTTGCATAGTGTATTATTGAACTTGATAAGCATTAAAGCATCATTTAGTCGTCACATTAGTTATTGAAGGATAGAGTTGAAGTGTTGATAAGGGTAGAACAAAAAATCAAAAGTTTTGAGCTATTAGTATCAATATATTAGTACTAATAAATACACACGTACATTACACGTAAATTGTTACCACAAAAAAATGGTAAAGCAAATTTAACTTTTTAATAAAGAATCAAGTAATCACATTGGTAAACATGTTAGAATATTATTCACATTATATACCTATGCATTATGGTAATTCTTTAAAACCGTACAAACCTGCATTGGAGTACAAAATAATAATCAAATCTAAGCCTTATTCTCTAAGAGAAAACGACATATAGGTAACTAAAGAAAATAATAAAATAGGAAAAAAGAGGTTTATGTTTTTGATGATATTTTATTGTCTCAATGCATTTACTTTCATGGTAACTTAGTAGTGAATGAGAAAGGAGAAATGGGAATGGGAAGAGCCACTAAATTCAAGAGTAAGAGCATTTACTTTGATTGTGATCAATGAAAAAAATAAGAAGTGGGAGAAGGAAAGCCACCAAATCCAACCGTTAGTTATCGTGAAAAATGGTTTGGCTGGTTGGTTTTGGGATATTGCTTTCATTAAATTTTTTGTTAAGGATAGTAAATAGATGGCAAAAGAGTTATTGTGTGGATGTATACAAAAATTGAACATGAAAGGAAGATCAAATGACATGAAGTATCTGACTGACATTATAAGAATAGTTAGGGGTAAAATTAAAAATCAAAAGTTTTTTATCTTAGCATTCTTTTATTGGTAGTATAGATATAGATAGGCAGATATAGAATTATTCATTACACTTGTAATTAAATATTTATTCCTAAAATAAGAACGGTCTAAGAGTTAAATTATAAAATAGGATATAATTGTCTTTTATATTTTTATTTGAGGATAGAAGAGAAAAATAAAAGTTTGTCTTTGTAAGGTATTTTTAGAAGTAGTATTAGATAATAAATTTGTAAGTATCAAAAACGATGTAAAAAACATAAAGATACCACATTGTTTTCATCTATTAGAGGACAAAATAAAACTTGTACTTAAAGTATGCCCACCACCCTAGATCATATTCTTGGCTCCGCCACTGTGTAGAACCACTGGATACCTCTTCATCCATGCTTATGTAATTAAACCATCAATCAATATTCTTAATGAATAGTAATATAAGGTAATTAATTTAATTTTCTATGAGCAATATTCAATGACCATAGAAATAGTGTTTACAATCAGTTATACACATACTCTTTTGGGTTAAAGTATATAAATTTCTTCTTCTTTTTTTCCAAACACAAGATTATTAGAACATACCAACTCACAACTTGTATTTGGATATTCTACCAATTTATCATGTGATAATTAAATAAACATAGAAAAATATCAAATACTAAACCCTAAAAAAAACCCATTAATCTGTGTGTGCACACTAAGAGATCGAATAAAATCGAGATGGAATTCTTTGTTTTTTGCTATTGTATTTGGATATTCTAACAATTTATTATGTGTCAATTACAAAAATATAGCAAAAAATATAAAAAACCAAACCATAGGAAACCCAATTGAAATGTATGTGCACATCTGACAGAGATCAAAAAAGTCCTTTGTTTGTTTTTGGTGCACATATTTGTCCCACAAGTGTTGATTGGTTAATACATTATGAGTAGGATTATCACAAGGTTCAGAGCCGGTGATTGGTTGTACATTTGCTCAATTGACATACTCCCTGGTTTAGACCCGAGTCACACGATGCGTCCCAAAGCTGTATGTGTGTCATTGTGATGATGTTTCGAATCAGATGTTTGTTGTTAAGATAAGATTGTAGCCCACGCACCATCTGAATACAATACATACACAGGAGAGAGCAAATCGATGACTTTCCATTTCAATCCTGAATTTATCATTCACAATAACAAAACTTAGTTTGTAAGTAATTTCATTGCACGATTTGTTAAAAGAATATGTGATGTGCATGACTACTTGGATCCCTTGTTATGTTTTCACGACTGAGCAATGTTAATTTGAGGGAATAGTTATTGTTCTCGATCTCTACTTTATTAATTATAATTAGAAAACTCACGGTTACTATTTTCTTCCGCACTTCAAAGCCAAGAGAATTAAACAATTAATTTTTGTGGCAGTTTTAAAATAAAATTACCAAATTGTGACATTATAAATTTATTTATCAAATTATACTTTTTTTTAAAAAAGTAAAGTTATTAACTAGCCTTTTTTTTTTTTTGAAAACGGGAAAATCCCGTGATCTGTCCTTAGCGAGTAGAGGCACACTTATGTCGCTCAGGCTCGTAACTCTGAGTAGAAACAACTGTAAACCCAGGTGTATGAACCGGTCCTTCAACTCATATACCAGTTCAATCAGGACTTGTGTTTCGTCGAGAACTCAAGACCCACACCAGAGACTTGGATACGGTTTATTCAAGCAACTAAGATCTTGTTCTACCAAGTAACCACACTTTTGCGCCCTAGGGACTTCGAACCCCCGACCTCCCACTTGTAAGGCATAGGCTTTAGCCAACTGAGCTACCAAGTTGGTTTATTAACTAGCTTTTAAAAGAGTAAATTCATTGGATTTAATATAATCATTTTTGCTTCTAACTAAAATATTGAAGGGCCTTTATCAACAAATGATTAAAATTAGTGGGATTGTTGACTCTATTTTTTAACAAAATGATTCCTCTTAAAAAAAAATGTTGTAATTTGGTAAATACACTTTTTAGTTTTAAGTCATTTTGTTTTAAATTTGTCATAGATTAGTAAATAATTCAATGCCAAGATATGCAATTCCAAGACAAGTCTAATCCAAAGAAAAACAAGGACTAGGACTTTTCTACTGATCTAACCAAAAAAACTACTCCACCGCCACGAAAAACGACCATCCTTCTAATAAAATACTAACATTAATTGCAAACTATCTAATGTGGGTTATAATCCCACTTGGCTAAGAACTCCTAATAACAGAATTTTACTAACAAATGAAAAACTATCCACTTGGAGAAGATTGAGAGTTTGGATCAAACTCCAACATTTATTTATGAACGTAGTTTGATAATACACACTACTAATCTAAACCAATAATAATACAAACCCATTGTCCATCGTAGTTTCCACACGAAATTTCGCATTGGAAACTTTGTTTGTTGTCAAGGTTGTTTGACACTTCAGTGCTAAAAACCATACCTTATTCAGTGCTAATGTTGGATGTTTCGTAGTTTGATAATGCACCCTATAACACCAGCTGGAACATTGCCAAAAGGGAGATGTCTTCTAGTTTGCCAAGTACTTCTGAAATTGTTGTAAGCTAATACGGTCTTCGAATAAACCTCTCATAAAACACACCTTTGTATTGTCACACAAAAATCCGTTCTCCTCTCTCCAGTTATGGAATTTTCAGAGATGGCCGCTCTCATATTCCTCAGCAACCTGAATTTAGGTGACTATCTCTCACGTAGTTGGTCTTATTTCATCAAATCCATCATTCGTACAGGTCAGAACAATGCGCCAAACTCAAAGAATCAAGTTACATGTGGCTGCTGGCATAATCTCCCCGGAGATATCATTGAGACGGTCGTAAACCAATTAACTCTAACTGATCGAATCCGGATGAGCAGTGTTTGCAAGGGATGGAGAGTGATTCTTACAAAGAAAGACATTCAGACAGTTGTTGAGATTCCATGGCTGATGCTTCTCCAATATCCGATTGGCAAAGACATAAGTTTTTATAACTTCTCTGAGGAAAGGGTTTATAATCTAGAGCTGCCAAAGTCAGTCCATGGAGGGTGGTGCTATGGATGTTCCAAAGGTTGGTTGATAATGATAACTGGATCAGAATTCAACCCAAGTCTCTTTTTATTGAATCCAATTACTGGAGCTCAACTTCAACTTCCTTCCCTGACAACTATCCCATCTTTTGAAAGTTTTGCAATTTGGCACTCAAAATTCGAAAAGTTCATTACCAGAATCACAATATCTTCTACCGATGCTGCCGAATGTATAGTTGCAGCAATATGTGATGATGAGATATTGGTATTCTGTCGACCAACTGACGAAAGATGGAACATCTTCCAAGGAGAAGGTGAAGATAATGGAAATTCTTGTGATGCCCTGTTATTTCGTAACAATACACTTTATGTCTTAATTGACAGTGAAGAGAATTGTGTTAGAAATTTTAGTATTAAATTATCAGATTGCCAGATGATGTTGACATTGATCTCATTCCATTATAATGGTTACTTCAATGTGGAAGATGAAGTCGTTGAGTTTCAGCATTTTAAGATTTTCAAGGAAACATGTATACATTATGATCTGGCAGAGTCAACAGATAGTGAATTGCTAGTTATCGTACAAATCCTGGATATATTTGCATTGAAGGATGATATTCTTGATGATGTGGATGACCTTGCATATGGTGATGACCTTGGTGAGGGGGAGGAGCATGACATTGGTGAGGGAAATCAGGAGCATGAAGATGGTGATGACATTGGTGAGCGGTATGAGGATGAAAATGGGTGCCCACTTCGTTTGAGATATTGGAAGACAATTGGATTTGAAGCATTCAGGATCAATCTTAGCAATGGACACTGTGACATTTTAAACAGCTTAGGTCACGATACAGTTCTATTTTTGGATATAGTTGGTTCATCATGCTTTTTGAACAGGGACAGCAATGGGATCCATGGAAACTCCATTTATTTTACATCCAATATTTCAGGCAGGGAAGAACAAGCTACGGTTGTGTCTCGTGAATCCGGGGTGTTTTACCTAGGAGGAGGAAGGATTGAACGTTTTCTCCCCAGTTTGAAGCCTGCAGAAGTAAGGGGATGGTTTACTGCCAATATATAGTAAAAGCAATGATAGAATTCTTACTTATTACTGTCATAACCAAGAGTTTTCCTTGTTAGAATTTAGGTGTCCAACACATATTTCTAAGCTCTAACAACTACATTAGCAACTTCTTATTGCATGGACTCAGTCATTCAGAACACTCTTTTTCATCTCTAGAAACTTTGCTTCAAACAATCACTATTTTTTATTTTTATTTTTATTTTATTTTAGGGTGGATGTGATGACTTCCTTCACAGTATAAGAAGTCAAATCTAATGATTGGTTTTTGAATTCCATTGTCTTAAGAATATTTACAAAAACAAAAATTTATGCACTCTCTTTTATCTTTATAATGTGTTTCACAGAATAGATGTGACAAAAAGAATAAAAATTTAAGTGATATATTTTGAAACCTTCCTTCCTGACCTCAAAGAGAAAGATTAATGATTAATCCAATTAAATTACTAGATAGATTCATTCACAAAAGAGTAATGAGTGCGGTTAGGGATCTCATGATCCCCCAGTGAAGACCTATCAAGGTGGTATACTATCTGGGCACTCTCCTTTGTCCTCGCTCCTATTTTTGCTTATCAAAAAAAAAAATGAACCCTTATGCCGATTTAGTATGGGAATTTTGTCCAATCTTGCAGCAATAGAAGAACCTGAAACTATTTTATTCGGTAAAATAAATTAATAGTCCTCAAATATGTGCTTTGTGACAATTTGGTCTTTCAATATTTAGTGTGTCAATTTAGTTCCTCAAATTTTAATTTGTGTTGCTTAGTCTAATAAAAAATGGCAGTATTGACTAACTGAGATATTTATGTGCCCGCGCTAGAGGTGTCACTTTGATCCCTCCAATTTATAATTGGTATCATTTTGATCCTTTAAGTTTACGATTTGTATCATTTTAGTCTCTAAAATTTCTAAATAATACACCTCAATTGTGATCTCGTGAGATGTACGCGACAATCTCTATTAGTAAAGAACAAAGTGACACAAATTAAAAAGTTGGGGGACTAAATTGATACAATTAAAAGATTAGAGACTAAAATGACAAAAAGCACAAAATTTGAAGTCCAAAAAAAAAATTTTATCCTACTTTATTTCTTTGCCACACACATAAGGTTACACCTATACCTATATTTATCTATTTTATACTATTTATAAATATCAGAATGTGAAAAAAATTTAATTTTTTATTTTGTCCCTAATTATTATTATAAAGTCAGTGATACCCACATGTTACTTTCACCCAAATTTTATTTCCTATAACTATTTGACTCTTAATTTTTTTTGGGGGACTCTTTTATTAATAATATTTGATTTTTAAATTTTTTTGGATTTATTTTTTAATAATACATTTACATACAATTTTTTATATCTATATTTATATTTATATGAAGAAATAAAGTTTAATATATATTCTATTGTTATATTCATATAGTCGTCAGATTGTATTATATGATCAAATATATATCATATTTGATTTTTTTGGTATACAAAAATATCATATTATTATAATATAAATAATCGTATTGGAATTTAATCAATTTTTTGACAAAAAATGTAATAATTTTATAAGATAATTAGATATGAAAATACTAAATAATGATAATCTTACAATGAAGCTTCATCTTAAATAAAAGAGGAAATGTCATGAGTTGAAGAGATACTTGAAAAAATGCCAAATTAAATCAAAAAAGGGTAGAATAAATCAATAATGAGGTTTAAAAATAATTAAAATAAGAAATAATCACGTTACACATAATTTATTATTCATTGTAATTACATCTATAATTTAAATTTATTATAAAAATATTATTTTAATATATTAACCTAACATCGTGCATTGTCAAAATTCAATTCCATGATAAAAACTAAAAATCAAATTCAAATATAAAAAGAATATGACTATTCTCCTCATCTAACAAAAAAACTACTCCTCCGCCACAAAAAACGACCACTTCTAATAAAAAACTAAGATTAATTGCCAACTATTTATGTGAGTTATAATCCCACTTGGCTAAGAACTCCTAATAACAGAATTTTACTAACAAATAAAAAACTATCCAATTTGAGAAAATTGGATAGTTGGGGTCATACTCCAACACTAATTTATCGGAATTATTGGATTACAAGTGAATCCCAAACTATCACTCTCTTTCAAATTTATTCTCAATCTAACAGCTTTAGGAACTTTGTTGTCAAGATGGCTCGACACTTCTTTGACCTAATGATCGGTACCACTTAATTTGACTGTTTACTTTATTGTTATCGTTAGATTGTCAAAAAACTTTATTTTATATTAAAATTATTAATTATTATTCCAATAGGGTCTTCCAATTCTGTATTGTCACACAAAAATCCATTCTCCTCTCTCCAGTTACGGAATTTTCAGAGATGGCTGCTCTCATATTCCAAAGCAACCGGAATTGAGGTGAGTATCTCTCATGTAAAAGGTCTTCTTTCACAAATCCATCTTTCGTAATATTCGGAATAATTTGTCTAATCTTTGATATCATTGAGAAAGGTCATCAAACACCAACAAATTCGTATTTTCACATAAGATTACACGTGTCCTATAACGTTTGATAGCTGCAATTCGGGAGCACATTGAAGTCTATTACCATCGGGATTGGAAATTTATAGTCAATTAAGCGAAATACATCCATCTAAAAACAATTTGATGTTTAATCAAGACAATCACTCCAACAATATTAAGATCCTACTCTAGTCTAATGAACTCAACCATTTGTTACCCCAGATGCACATCATTCAACAACCACCTAAACCATGAGAACATATTATTGTCAAACAACAATCAAAAAATTGTACATAGATTACCCACAAAGATTTATTTTAACACGATTTGCACACTAAGTTTCAAATTACAAGATAAGGAAGGTGATTAATATTCCTGAACACCTCCCCCCACAAAAAAAAAAAAAAAAAAAGGCTTTGCCTATGTGTAGCATTCATTATCTGCTTGAGGTCTGCATCTCTTATCTAGGTTTGCCCATCGGGGCACACCAAGTAGAATGATATCAAAGTCTTGGTGGAACACAAAGTACTTGGCCAAAAATTATCTAATATTTTTTGTCAATGGGAGCATTGCATGTACAGCACACTGGAAAAGAGCCCTATCCTGTCCACAATCACATAACTGAAGGCCAAAGGAATGCACATGCAGGCAAAAGCCCATATAAAGTACACGAGGACGAACATGACTAGATTACTTTGGTAATCCAACAAAAATTCCTTCATATGAAATAACAACTGTGACAAAATAACATGAAGAACGTAATATGCTCGTCTCAACTAACCATAGTTATTGGATCAAAAAAAAAAACTAACCTATAGTTAAGAAGCATCAATAACCAATATCTTTTTTTTTTTTTTTTATCAATAACCAATATCAACACAACAAAAACTCATCGGATGTCAAAGCAAAGCAGAACGAAAAGTCAATATAAACTCATTTCGGGACCTAAGCATAAGGGGTGGCTCAAGACATTTTGGAGCTTAAAGCGGAAACAATAAATGATTTTTTTTTAATATTAATTAAATTTTTAATTTTTTAAATACAAAAATATTAATCAAAATTTTATATTCAAGTTTCGTTATCATATTTGAACTTAATGATAAGAGAGAGAGAATTATTGAAAAAATATGATAGTAAGTTTAAACTTGACTATTCTGAGGGTTAAAACTAAATTTTTTAGTAACTTTAGTTTTACACTTATTTTTTCTTCTTTATTTAACCAAAATAAATTTTAGGGTCTTTTAATTTTATGGTTAAATTTATAGTCCGAATCTATTTAAATTGAAATCTTTTGTTTAAACATGGATTTAAATTTTTGGTTAGATTATTATTATACAACTATAAATTATGGGGTCTTCCTTGAATTGAAGTCTTATATTTTTGAAAAAATTTCATCCACACCCCCTATAATTAAATCTAAATTTAATGACACCCCTTCTCGATTTTAAAACATCACTGTCACCGTCCGTCAGTGTTTGTCGGGTTACGGCGTTAACGATAATTGTTAATTTATAAAAATATCCCTGAATATTTTATAGGGTAAATTTTATTCACACCCCTTATAAATAGACATAACTTCGACGACACCCCTTGTAAATATACCTATCTTTAACAATACCCCTATTGATTCTGAAATTTCAACGCACTCGCTTTTAATTTTATTATATCAACATTTAGGTACATCAATCTAATATTTAATTTTATCAAATTAATGTCTTTTATTTAATTTAAACTAAATTAACATTCAATCTCATAAGATCAACACAAATTGATATTTAATTTTGTCAAATTATCATTTAGTTATATTAATTTAATATTTTATTTCATCAAATTAATATTATTTCTTTAATTTGACATTAAATTATTATTTAATTTTATCAAATCAACAACAAATTGACATTTAATTTTATTAAATTAAAATTTAATATATTAAATAGAATATTAAATTCTATTAATTTAACATTTAATCTTATCAAATTAATGTCAGTTATTTAATTTAACATCAAATGAACATTCAATTTTATTAAAGCAATATTTAAATTTATTCAATGAACAATAAATTTTATTAAATCAACACTGAATTAATATTTAATTTTATCAAATTAATACCAAATTAATATTTAAATTTATCAAATTAAGATCAAATTTATTCAATTAATATTAAATTTTATTAGTATTTAAATTTTATATATGAAAATTGATGTGTGAAGAGTGATCAGTTGATGTTATGGAGGACAAACGATAGTAGAGGAGTTAGAAATGGATGTAATTTTGATTTTTTAATGCCCCAAAATTCATCTTGGAAGACATTAACTATCTTTACAACATCCAACCATAAGAGCATACTAAAATACTATTAAATAAATAAAAGCATTCATAATCCAACATCTCATTAGATAAATCATCAAAAAAACATAAATAAATTCTTAACATAAATAAACCATCAAATATAAACTCTAGAGATTAAAATTCA